ACTGGACGCTTAAGGTGCGTCTGAATAGGCGTCGTGTGGACAAGTTCGTTCCAACGTAGATACTATCTTTGCTCCAGGGCTAGATAGTGATCCAGAGCAAGTCCATTTAATTAAATAAATAATTAAGTCCAAGTATTCAATACTAACTTACCTTTGTCAAGTTCGAATCAAGATTTTAGTAGTTAACGTTTATTATGATTATTAATACAAAGATCGAGCACTCAAAAGAAATTCCTTCGATGCGGCCGGATTCGAACCGACGTCTTCTAGCATACCGTGCCAGACGCTATACCAACTAAGCCACCGAACGAACCAGCGGGCCTCACGAATTCTTTCTATGTGCTTGCGTCGTGTCTTTGTATTTAGCGCCATCTATGAGAAATCTATGAAAGATTTATCACCCAGTTAGTACCTTTACGGCTACCAGTCCTTGCGAGAGATGTCGCTATTCGCTATATTTTAATTTTTTCTTGAATTGATATTCAATAATTTTTTGTGAAATTACTCCACTAGTTTGTTATAATTATTAATACAAATTTCTGAGTGTTCGATCTTTGTATTAATAATATAATAAAATAACAAATAAAATAACAAACTAGAGGAGTAATTTCACAAAAAATAATTGAACATCAATTCAATAAAAATTTAAAAAGTTAACGTTTGGTTAAAACCTATGCACAGGTACTGTATTGTTTATTTTATTATATATACTTATTCATTATGTGGTTAAAGACAATATATTTAATACGTTTTGCTAATAATTTGTGGTTTACTCTTACAGTTTTATTGAAGAAGAACGTTTATATGTCGTGTCTAGAATTCTAATATGGTCTTTTATGGGCTTTGTTTAGGCTCTTCTCACCGTTGTTTGCGCTCGCTTGGGTTATCTCTCTTTGTGTGTATAATTGAATGAGTGTATTAGTAATAAATGTTGCTGGTGGTAAGGATTCGCTTAAGCCAAACTCGCCTGGGTAAATATCACTAACTTATAAATGTATTTTTTTTTCTTGCTGAGTTCTGGATTAAAGGGTAGACGCGTACTATTTTCAGTCACATCACTGGTTAACATTAGGTGAGATTAAGGCAAAGCGTACGTCAATTTTTCAATAAAAACAAAAAATACGTGTAAGAAGTAAAGAAACTTAAGGTGGATTTCCACGACACTTTACCGATTTGTACGACCTAAGCCCGTAGTGGCATGGACTCGGATGTATGTAGCGAGTTCTACTCATCTTGATGAATATATGTCGTACGCTTTTATAATAAAAAAATCCTGTTAATATTCATACGGAAGTATGATGAAACCGCGCCAATCTGGGGGCCTACCACAACCTCTTAAAACAATATTACTCTAACCTTACATTGACTTTTCGTACCATAACGCGCTTAAAGTAAGCTTACTGTAATGTTAAAATATGACGTTTTATTGGCAGCTTTGTGACTATTCATTCACTCCGTTCGTACTATGACGCGACTTTAACATTAGAGTAATATTGCTCTTATGTCAAATTTAGTATATATAATTTATAGTTACACGGATGCAATGGAAACAATATTATTTTCAGTTTCATTGTCTTATTATTGAGTTTTACTGATTAAAAGTTAAGTTGAACTTATTTATTTACATATATCTCTTCAATATTTTGTTTATTTTTTATTTAGTAGCACATATTATTTCGTATAATTATTACAGCGCCATCTATATGCTCCTTGGCGAAACTAACAGTTGACACTAGATATAGTTCCAAATTCACAACGTGCCTACCAAGACTCAGCTAGTTTTATTTATTTTTCTTCATGAAAATGCGGAATAATTATTGAAAACGTAATTTTAATAGATTTTATTATTACATATTTTTCTTTTTTTTAACTGTCAAAATTCTCTGGATGTAAATAACATTAAGAACTTAAACAATATACTACGATAAGACGATTCGGAACATCAAAAAAGAAAGAGATGGCATTATATACTTCAAATAGCGTTATCTCTTTCCTATTTTTAGTAAGGAATAGAGAATATTGGGAAATCATTCGTTCTTTCAATCACTTTTGCAATAATACTGTACTTGGTTGACAGGTTCGTCATGGTACGAATATATAAGTAATATTATAATAAGCTTAATTTAAGCTTACATTGAAATAAGATTGTTTTTGGAAAGGAAATGGTAGGCCCCCAAGAAGCGCACATTGAAATATAGGCGCTCCATAAGCTTTCGGCATTGCGTATACGGAGCGTACCCATGTCACACCGCTACCGCTTCGACAAATCAGGAAACGGCCTTAGACTCATCTGATTAGTAGAGCACCATTCCTGCAGTCTATTTACATCAGCTTGCAACAGAGACACATCTACATGAGATTCAATGACTCTCGCGAATTTCAAATCGTCTAAATATAAATGTTAGACAATATCACATACATTGCTGTGATCCCAAAGTAAGTAACTAAAGTACTTTTGATACAGGAATCGGAAACAACGACTGCACCAGAAACACCCATACTTTTCACCCAAACACTCTGTATAAGATACTTTACTACTATGTAGTGATTGATACATGACTGGGGTTTTATGTACATAAGATATTAGCAGAATATTTAGCACATACGTCTATTATGTTCGGTGTTCGGTACATGTTCAGTACATATTTAGTACACTGTCGAAGTACAACATACTGCTTACAGTTCAATATCCAAACGCAATAGTAATCTTAAGGCTAAGTGGATAGTACTCGAGTATATCGTTACAATTACAAAATAATAATACTAGTAAAATGTAAAATACATTTGAACATATTTCAAATCACATAATAGGTATATGTAATAGCTGTAGAGGTCCTTGTGAAAGAGTTCGTCCAGGGAAGTACTGCTACCTTACCTATTTCTGCCGCCAAGCAGTAATGATAGCATAACGGCGCGTAATATTCGCATAATTCGTCGTGTCTGCAACAAAAAAGACGAGAATGGCCTTGTACACGACAAGAATTTTGTTGGACCTAGCCATGAAAATATGTCGTGTTTGTTGCAGACAAGAAAATGATGAGTATGTACACGATACAAATGCTTTCGGATACACGTGTATAGGGTAAACGTGTCAGTGCACTTCCAAGTAGCTGTCGTTTTACTACCGACTGTGTGAAGAAATATGTTTTGTTTATGTATGAAGAGATATCTTTTATTAATAAAGAATTTAATAAAGAAATATGTTGACTACTAATAAAAAAAATGGTGATTGCAAATTATATGTATAGAATAATAAATATTTCTCTCCATGCCTCAAAAGTACGTCGTTTATCTTTATAAATCTCCAAGGTTTTGTCCCACAACCTCTACTAAACTTATAAGTAAATCATGCATTTTATTAGTCGAAATAAAATTAGTGGTGCAACAGTGGAACTTTGCAACACCAGTCCACTCGCATAAACGTTCGTTTATTGACAATGCGCCCCATACAATAACGGCAGAGTGCGTCGAGTCGGGGGTAGACAAGATTTTTTTCTTGTCCGGCGCCGAGGCTGTGTACACAGTTCGTGTGTAGAAACGACACGAATTCTTGCATAGACCCGGCGACTTT